GGTTGCCTAACCTCACTTTTTGTTTTATTATATATATTTTATTTTACAATAATTTAATGATATATAATAAAATATTAAACATTAACAGTAAAACAAACAAATTAGTGCTTATTATAAATAAATTAAACCGGTTTAGTACGTTAATTTTTTAGAAACGGATTAATTTGTCAAAACAATACCCCTAGCGAGAAAAAATCGAACTAATTACTTGCCTCATAAAAATTTCTTTATCGAATGTTGACAAAAATAAAGTTAAAATTAGAGACCGCGTGGAGATAAATGTTGTTTAATAAAAATAATAACGTTAATTTTATTAATTAGATTAAAAAATCGCCGCAGCGGGCAAATATATAATAACCGTCGCAACAAACAGTATACGTAGACACTTCCTACATTCAAATGACATTTGATTTGATCATCAAATGAGATTTGATTTATTCATCAATACTAATTATTAGTATTATTAAATGTGATTTTGGATAAAGTTTGGTAACTAATCTTAAATTAGTCAAACTTAAACTATTTACGTACCTAGTAATTTAAAAGTGAAAACGACTATTTTATTAGTAAAAAATGCTGATACTAATTCAAATAGTAGAATTTTGACTATTTCATTTTAAGAGAGTAGACAAAGTATTATAAATTACTACCTGAGAAAATACATCCTTAAATAAAATTTTCTTGGCTAAATTAACACAAAGCGGATCATCATCGTCTAACACCGAGAACTCCCGTAACATTTTTTACAATCCGATTTTTTATTAAAAAAATTGACACTTGAACCATTTAATTTAACAACCATAATTAATAATATCCGCGGAGTAGAATACTCAAACTCAAGTTGATTTATAATTATCATTGATAACACATTTATTAGGTATGTCCTTATCATTAAAACAACATTTTATATTGTAAAAAGGTAAGTATAGCGATATTAAAATAATATAAAATGACTTAATTTAAATTTAAATAATTATAGGCCTGTGCAAATATTTCTAACAGAGCAAAGTACCATTTATTAATTATTATGGTATTCAATTTATTTAGTTAACACGGTAATTTGGCTATTTAGCTTGGGTATCATCTTAATTAAAAATAATTTTGAAATTTTTAAATTATTTTCCAATGTAGATTAAGAGAAGAAAAATCATAACCGCAAATAAATAGATATGTGACAATACACAAGACTTATTTATTGTGTTTTTAATTGTAAATAAAATTCAAGAACTAAATCGTTGCATTTTCATGTTTTGCCAAAGGATCCAAGACGGTAAGTACATGTGTTGGTGCAGAATTAACTAATGATAACTTTACCTAATATAATTTATATTTAAATTTGGACATTTTTAAGAAATTAGTAAAAAATAATTTTTGCACAAACATAACCTTAAAATCAACCATTTTTATATTTGAGTCTGCAACTGCATTTTAAACAACAAAATATACCTACGAATTCATGGCAATATAATATTCTACATAATCCATATCAGGGTTTTTTACCGTTGAGTGGAGACTTTAAAGAATTCTTAATCAACGCTTTTAATAATGCTAAATGCTGTTTAAATTTAGAGGACTTATTTGTTTGACGATGATTACTGAATTGAAATGTTTACACTTTCAGTTTATTAATTACTAAAAATTTATTGTATCTAATAGATACAATTTATATTTACAGGGACTGTATGGAATTTATTTCTTCATTTGGATTAACACTGTTTATTGAAAAACCGATAAAAACTCAACCCAGGATTTCCTCTCGAAATACATCCAACAACACAACAAATCGTTCCACGGGTTTTTTCGATATTTTTTAACATTTTCCGGCTTTATTCTCAAAAACACTCGTTTGTAACATAAGCGTTTGACAGCTGATTATTAAAAGTTATACTTTTGTTACGATGATATCAGCCGAGTGGTGGCGCTACTAGCGATACTTCTTTAGCTTATGGTTTAAATTATTATTAAACCTAAAATGTCATCATAAAAATGATGTAACTGAATCAAAAGAAATTATATTATTAAATGCTTGAAAAAAATTGTATATAACACCCGGCAGCAAAAACCTATTGTTAATAAATTTATGTGTTTTCTCCACCTGGTCTATAATGTACTATTTTTCTCTGAATTTTTCGTAGTTGTTTTTTTTTTACTTGGGCTTCATATAAAATATTTTTGTACAATTTTTGAACATTTTTTTGATGTCGTTTAACCCTGACTAAATAAAATGATTTTTATTTTTAAAATAGTCAAAATTTAATTATTTTTTAAAATATTTTTATGAGGTAAATTTTGGTCAAGCCATTTAATATTGACTGAGAAATTTTGTAAAACTTGTTTTATTCTTTAGGTATTTTTTATTTAATAGATGGTACTATTATAAATTAATAATAACGGTTATTCTTATAAATAAAATAATTAAACCCGGCACATTCGCCATTTTTGTAACTGCCGAATTTAATAAAGATTTTTGTGATTTTGTTTTTTTTATATTGCTTACCCTGCTTTTGTAAGGCTTGGGAAAATCCATGATAACATCAGTTCAGGTACACAATTAAACACTTAAAAACTAACGCGAAACTATCAAAAGCGTCTTTTTCCGCGGGCCTATGCGTTGGGTTACACCATTTTAAATTGAAATTTCCATTCAAATTCGGTGAGATCAGTTCGCAAAATAAATGAGCGCGTACGATAAATTTGCCAAACGGATGTGAGCCTTATTGCGGTGGCCCGTAGAGGCGAAAATGCAGGCCGCGCGAGCTATTTCATTAGACATTTTATTAGTGTAGGAGAATGAATCAACATGTGCGCTCAGAACGTTACACAGGAACGTATCACATATTTTTTAAGGGTCGTCTTAGAACCAAAAAATTTTTTGTTTTAAAAGTCTAAAACCTATCCTCCGTGACTGTTACTCTTTCTAGGTTAACCTATATGTTTTCAAATATCTGAGGTAGTAAAAGCATACTAAAAATATCAGTCCACTAAGTAAATTAAACACATCCAAAGCAATCGAATCAAATATAAAATATTATTAAAAATTAAAAGAAATAATTTTTATAACCATTTATGTGGGTGTTACAAAAATTGATTCTATCCTCCGTGAATCTCTTTTTGCTTTAAATTTTATGCAACGAATGGCGCTTTAATCATTTTTAATAAGCAAAAACCTCCGTTTACGACATTATAGATGCATGTGATTCCTGAAGGTCAGTTAGAATTTATATGCAGATGAGAGTGTTGCTGTTTTATAATTCAAAAGTTTAAGTTCATTATTTTGCTATTTAAAAACCTATCTACCGTGAAGTGTAATATCTCAGTAAGTAGATTTTTTATAAATATTTTATATATGTACAATTGCATTTTTTTAAAATATTAAGGTTTCAAAAGATACAATAACTTATTTCAAATATACAAAGGGTTGTAAAAAACATACGAAATCCTAACCTCCGTAAAGCTATCTTCCGTGAAGCTCTAATATTCAAAATGTATGATTTCTTAAAATTCTTGCATTAGTGCAGAACAACTTATGTTATGTTATTACTAGACCTAGTGGCTTCCCAAAAACCCCATTCTAGACTAACAGTGAAACAACAACAACAAAAAATTTTTCGTTAAATATGCACGTTATTGATATTTTAACCCCACTCTTACATTATCTTAAATACACCCCTAGATACTCTAATAGAAAAACAAAAATAAAAATATGTTAAACTGTAATAAATAAAAATGTACATTTACCAAATTAAGAAATATTATTTAACTACAAATTTATATAATACTGTACTGTACTGTCAATCGTTTAAGTACATTACCAGATAAAAAAATTAAAGAATGGAATTTCATATAGGTCATAGCATAGCAATTGCAAGACTCTTTGGATGCATTTTTATTTTTAGGCAATTAAGGTGCGTGGAATATTTAACTTTAGGTTTATTGATTTAAGCTACGTTTTACGTCAATGCTGCTTGTAATATAAATATTTAAGTCAAGGCAGGATGAAATTATACCACCCACATTAAAAAAAACCCAAAATCTATTAATAAATAAAGCTTTAAGTGGTGTAACAATACAATTTGTTTGTTTTTTAATTATTTATAATAAGTGTCATTAAAGATAATTTGTTACCCCGTGATATTTAATAAAACTAAATGAGTTTCACCTACACTTTTATTGTGTTTTGATTTTTCATAATAAAGTAGATATTACAGCTCAAGTTCCAGATTTTTAACCGCAATTAATTATTTTTTACAATGTTCTCAAAGTCTAAAACCTATCCTCCGTGACGGTTACTCTTTCTAGGTTAACCTATATGTTTTCAAATATCTGAGGTAGTAAAAGCATACTAAAAATATCAGTTAGCTAAGTAAATTAAACACATGTGTTTAATGTATACAAAGCAATCGAATCAAATATAAAAAAATTATTAAAAATTAAAAGAAATAATTTTTATAACCATTTATGTAGGTGTTACAAAAATTGATTCTATTCTCCGTGAATTTGTTTTTGCTTTAAATTTTGGCGCTTTAATCATTTTAAATAAGCAAAAACCTCTGTTTACGACATGTCGTAAACAGAGGTTTTTATGCATAATAGATGCATGTGATTCCTGAACGTCAGTTAGAATTTATATGCAGATGAGAGTGTTGCTGTTTTATAATTCAAAATTTAAGTTCATTAATTTGCTATTTTAAAACTTATCCACCGTGAAGTGTAATATCTCAGTAAGTAGATTTTTTTTATAAATATTTTATGTATGTACTATTGTATTTTTAAAAAATATTAAGGTGTCAATAGATACAATAACTTATTTCAAATATACAAAGGGATGTTTAAAAAAAATATACGAAATCCTAACCTCCGTAAAGCTATCTTCCGTGAAGCTCTAATATTCAAAATGTATTATTTCTTAAAATTCTTGCATTAGTGCAGAACCAATTTTCTCACGTTTCATGTACATATATAACACCATGTTTAAAAGAAAGTAAACATAATGAACTTACCCTTCTTTCTTCGTCTCTTGCTGCTCTTAAGTGTGATTCAATGGCTTCTAAATCTATTTTAGGCATTGCTGTTTCGATATTGTATACATCAAATCCACCTAAAAAATGAATCATATCATTTTGGATGTATCATAACCACATACAAATTTTATCTTTTAAATAATATTAAAAATAAAAGTGATTTAACTCGTTAATAAAGTTATAAATAAATCGGTCAATGAAACTCGATCTCTAAGAAATCGTATAGTTTCTTAAAGGGGACTTAATATGATTAAAGAATTCCCATGTAAATCAGTTTATGCATATACCCTATAGGTATAGAAATATGTAGGTTTTACTTGGCTTATGAAAATAATCGTTAAGGGCCTAAAATAACTAAAACATTCAAAGCATGCTACTGGGAGATATTAGCGAAAAGCGCGCGGTCACTGTGTCCCATTAACACATATTATTTGAGTATTATTCTCCATTAAATATACGTATAACGGTCAAGTTAATAATAGTAATAAATAACACTATGATAGTTCGATTTACTAACATTGAGTACGCCCACCTATATTAGCTAATTTTGAGCTGCTGATTTCAAAAATTCCACTCGTTTTATAATAATTGCGTAATAAAATGATCTGCTCAATTATCTCAAATGTAAGTTTTTTGTTAATATTTTAATTATTTATTAAATTATTTTGCCTTAAATCTATTTTGGACGTTCAGTATATTTTTGACATTTTTTGTTGACTCCACACAAAGTCATCGGTAGATAAATGTCAAATAGAAAATTTGTTTGTTTTATTGTAGCCGTATACCTACTATAGTAAAACTAAAATTATAATGTTTTTTTAAATTTAAATTGTATTTTTACTTGAAAGTGATTTTAAGAACCAAAAATGAAAAAAGAGCAGGGAATGGAAGTGGTAATGGAAGTGGCAGAGAAAGAGAAAGGAGACGAACATTTATGTCGTCGTTGTAAATTTGTTTTGTTTTTGTTGCTGTACCTTTACGCCCAAGAAAAACCAACGCAATCCCAAGTAGCACAACTGGTTAAATTAACGTTAAATTTACGTTCTGTCTGGTTAATTTACTTAAGTTATATTGTACTACGAGCCCTAACCACATAATGTTCGGACACTTCATAATTTATACAGAAATTTTTTTCGTGAATACCATCTCAAAATTATTAGAAGTTATGAAAAATTCAGCTTATTTTGGCATATACCCCTCGAAGCGATTTTTATTTTTAAAAAGTTTACCTTTTATTTTTAGCTTTTAAAAAAAGGCTAACTTTTTAACTTTTTTTTGCATGAGTAAAAAAAGTTATAAATGGGCCCATTAAAAAGAACATAAAATATTATACAAACCCTGAAAATTTGGTAAAAATTGTATAAATAATAAGAAAGTTATAGCGATATATATATCTGCAAAATCTCCCGTTTCCTAAGAAAATTGCAAAAACTCTTTAAAAATAGCATTTTTAAATTACTTATACTTTTTTATAACTTATTTATTTTTTACCAAATTTTCAGGGTTTGTATAATATTTTATGCTCTTTTTAATGGGTCCATTTATAACTTTTTTTACTCATACAAAAAAAAGTTAAAAAGTTAGCCTTTTTTTAAAAGCTAAAAATAAAAGGTAAACTTTTTAAAAATAAAAATCGCTTCGAGGGGTATATGCCAAAATAAGCTGAATTTTTCATAACTTCTAATAATTTTGAGATAGTATTCACGAAAAAAATTTCTGTATAAATTATGAAATGTCCGAACATTATGTGGTTAGGGCTCGTATAACGTTAAATTTACCTTAAATTAACGATATTTTGTAATAAGTGGGGAATCAAAATCATGGTTAATTTAACTTTACATTAAGTAAATTTAACTTCTTGGTTAATATACCTGTCGGTTAAAAAAATATATTTGGTAATTTTTGGTTAATTTTACCCTTTTTTACTGCTTTTTAACTCTTTAGTCAACTTAAACTAAAGTGGAAAAACCAACCATTTTAAGTTTATTTTAACTTAATATAATTATAATTTACCAAATATATATTATACTACACCAAGTATGCATAGATCTATGAGTCTTAGGATTTTAAATAAAATGTCTCCCCTGAATATTAATATCTTCATTTTAATATTTAAAAGAGATAGTTCTATAGAAGAAAAACCAATGGGGCATTTTTTTTCTGATGAAATGGCTCATAATACTTTTATATTTTAAACGCGATCAAAAAAGAATAAGAAATAAAGAAAACAAAAATTTTAAAAAAATATTTTTTTGCTTATTTATTTTTTATTTTACTTAAAATTGATTTAAAATACTTTCAAACATAAAATAATACTATTTTTTTATTATTGGTTTATTTAAATTACCTTATTTTTGAAATAAAAATCAAAAATAAAAATTAATGGCATTTCCTTTTGTAAAATGAACAGCAAGCAATATGGCGATTATAGGATGCTTTTACTAATTGGTTATTTAACCAATATAAATTAACCTGCAAGTTTATTTAAACCATTTAGTTATTTTCTTGTGTTTAAGTTAACTACTTTATTTACCCATCAGTAATTTATAACTCTTTGGTTTTGGTTTCAATTTGGTTACATTTAACACATAGTTAAAAATTACAAAAATTTAGTTAAGTTAAACTAACTTGTTATTTTCAAAATAACTAACCTAAAATAAATTCCCGCCAAACGTTCTGGAAAACGTTGCAGTGTACTACATTATGTAGTTTACATAGACACTCGTGTGGCGTTCAAAGTTTATTTATTAAGAGACTTTATTTCTGGTACCTATTTAAGTTCCTAACATGTCATATTTTTCTATGTAGGTAACAATGAAAACTGCAAAACCATCACTTTTTTAACGAGTTGGTTGATTAACGTTAATTTGCCATTTAGTTAAAATACATTTGGTAAAATGCAACTTGTTGGTTAAAAAATATAGTCAAATTAACCAAAACTGTGGTTATCTTACCTAAAGGTTCAATTTATAGTTAAAATGAACCAAAATATAACAAAAAATTAACTACTCTTTACCAGTTTTATTGGTTAACATTTAAAGTTAATATAACGTTATATAACTTCTAAAATAACCTACTTATTAACTAATTTAAATTAAGGTTATTTTAAAAGTTAGGTACAATTAACCATTTTTTTAACTTGGAAGTATTGTTTCACTCATCAGTGAGTTTTAAAGTTAAATTATAGTAAAAAATAACTTTTAAATTAATTCTTAAGTAATAGCAACTAGTTTGTTAATTTAAAGGTTTTTTTTAGTTTATAATAACCGTAAAAAAACTAATTGGATAATTCAGATTGGTTAAAAAACCAAGATAAAAAAAAACGTCATTTAACTTAGATTTCGGTTAATTTACTTATAATACTAGTTATTTAACCGTTTGTGCTACTTGGGATATTTCATTACAAAATTTTACTACTTTATTTTTGCAGGAATATTAAATGGACCTGATATACGACGTTTAATGAAAGATCAAGCATTCAAAAATGCTCTCAAAGTTGACGAGCTTGTCCCACATGGCAGTGTTAAAGCTGTCATTGAAAATGTTCTTGGTTCATATCGGGCCTAAAATTGCCGCCAATTCAATAAAAAAATGCTATCCTTTTTGCAAAGAATTAGCGTTACTATGCATATATGTCATTTAAAATACATTTTCTTTTTTTTCATAAATATAAATTTGCCGAACTGATGAACATGGAGAACGATTTCACCAAGAAACTGCAAATCTAGAGTATTGGTAGATACCAATGGATATAGCGGAAAGAAGTTGGATTCATTGCTAGGAGACATTTGCTGGAATTTGCAGCAAAAGATGTACAATGTAGAAGTACAATAATACTATAATCCAATTTGATATTTGATACGATTTAATAAATTTAAGGTAGAACAAAGCAAAATTATGCAATGCATTAAATTTTGAGGGCTTATTTTTTATAAAAAATACTGAAACTTGTTTACTTTGTTGCCCTTTCAATTCAATAATTAAAATAAACGACAAAAAATGTCAAATAATGGTTGTTTTTTAAATTAAAATACATTACAATTTTAGTTTTAGTATTTAAAATGTCATATTGTTAAGATAAATATGATCTAATTGCCGTATATCAATTACTTCAGTACATTGAAGATAAATTTAAGCAAAAATAATTTAATAAATAATTAAAATACCAACAAAAAACTTACATTTTGAGGTGATTTTATTACGAAATTATTTTAAATCCTAGACGTCCTAGAGAAAAACTAATGACGTTTTTGAAATCAGCGGCCCAAAATTAGTTAAACTAAGCTGGAGTACTTAATGTTATTGATTTTTATTTTGTAAAACGCATAATAAAAAAGTTGTTCCTATTGGAAACCCGATCCGTGGACTATTATAATACGTATAATACGCATACTGTTAACATTAACACTATGTCAACTGTTTGCAGCTGCTAAAAGTTTATCGAAAGCAGTCAATGTTGCCAACATCATCCCAGATAACATTATGAGGTTCATAATTGACGCATATTGCAGTCACAACGTGATTGTAATCCGCACGTATGCACGCATATATGCATCATTTGCGTCATCATTGAGGTTCATATAACCAGCACATGTGATGGTTGAAGAAATTTTTCTGGGCATGATTAACAGGTGAATTTTGGACTTGCATTGCCTTAATTTGATTGTTTTTCTTACGTTTCGATTAGTAATTATCTTTAATTGTCTTCAGTTATTACCTGAAGATCATTATAGGTAATTACTAATCGAAACGTTGTAGGAAAAACAATAAAATTAAGACAAGGCAAGTCCAAAACTCAGCTAATTCATAAAATTGATTTATTGCGAAATTTTGGTTATTATATTATAAGTAATAATCCAAAAGATCTTTTTCTTTAAGTCATTTATTTTAGTTTTTGTGACAATTGCCTACATTTATAGAAAGATATTTTATTTTAATTAACATTAGGTATCTTTCTACAAATTGATAAATAAATTAATGATAAATTAATTTATAAACGTCATCTTAAGATCAACGTGTTAACTCGTTGATCTTAAGATCAATTCCAATTTGGAATTCCAAAATTATGTATATTTTTATACAAATAAAGCCTTTACAAATCCAGTCTTTTCATAAATTAACCATATGGTGTAATTCAATTTTTTGAAAATTTTAGTAATAATATGAAGTAAAATCAACAACTTTCGCAAGATGTAGTGTAGATCTAGTAATACATCTACAATTTTGCGATAACTATTTTATTTGGGCCCTAGAATTACCGTCTCAAATGTACCATGCTTTATGTAAATATATAAATAATTGTTTACAATATTTACGTAGGACTAATCTAAAGATTAAACTTACCCAAAGATTCAATCGAAACTTTCTTCTTGTCTCTTGCCATCGGTACTGATCTTCTGTTCAGAGTGTCTCTGTTTCGTCCGCTTAAGTCCCTACGCGGAAAGCTTATAAGACTTCCAAACTGTTGGTTGTAATCGCGTCTTTTTTTGACGTAAAAATCGATTTTTTCTTTTTTCCTCGGCACGGCACTGTCGTCTTCCTTTTCCTTGTAGCTCTTTGTTATATCTTCTTTGCAGAATTTTTCCAACTCGTCCAATTTTAAATTTGTGTCTGATTTAATCTTCTTTATTTGACATTCGATTTCTTCCAGTTCTCGGTTTGAATCTCTTCTTGATATATCAGATTTCTTCATAGTATCCACTTCCATTTTGTTTTCTTGTATGTTTAAATTAGAATCAATAGAAATTGTTTCAGGAATATTTTCCTGGGCGTTTGAAAGAAAAGCATCAGCTATTTTTAGATCTACATCGCAATTATCATGCATGGTTTCCATGTTGTTGTTATTGGCGATAACTTCAGTATCTTCAAGAACTATAGGTTCGGGTGTTTGTTTTGTAGGGGATAATTTGTTAAAAGGTTGTTCAATATTCGGTTCAATATTGTATTTGGCTGCTGATGGTTGCAAATCGGTTAGAACAGCTAATTTTTCAACCGCTTCTTCAAGTTCTAAAATAATAGCTTTTTCCAGTTCAAGAACCAAGTACGGATCAGGGAAAGGTTCTATGTAATCATTGGTAGTTTGATTTTTCAAGGAAATTTTGCCCAACTCTTGTTCCACTTCCTTGCCAAAATCACCAACAATGTTTTCGTGCGAAATATGTTCTTCCAACTTAATATTCAGATCAACTTGACTGTTTAAATTTTCACAATCGTCAATGTTAAACACCGGCTTATCGTAGAACACTTTTTGTATATTCTCGACGCTATCAAGGCGATTTACGCTGTCGATGTGATCCAAGGGAAAATCAGTGTCTTCTTCAGCGTTGTTGTTGTTGTTGTTGCAATTGGAGTCTTGTTGCTCCTTGCTGAGGAGGTCGCAATCAATTTCGTCGTCAGTAAGATCAACATCAGAGGAAACCTTGATGGTGTAGTCCAAAGTATGGGCGAGGTGCTGGAAGCCAGGGTAATTGGGGTTCACTATACCTCGACGCTGAATGGTGCCTCTACAAAATAAGGAAGAAATATAGAAAGAATATTTCAATCTAACTAAAAAATAAAAAATAACTTTTATTTTTACATTTTGTTTTTTTCTCATTGATTGCGAAAGAGGGATTTAAAGAAACCAAGTGGTAAAGATTTAGATAAAACCTCAATTTGACAAACTTACATTTACTAAGAGAAATATGTTTAAGTTACATTTACGAATAATAATTAAAACAATATATTACCAAATTTAATAGTATAATCATAAAAGTTAATGTCTAAATAATTGCTAGATAGCATTCTGGGGGTTTCACTATATGATTAAGAAATAATCAGGACTTGTTTATAAATATGAAAGGATATACGAAAGGAAAAATATAAAACAAACAAGACCCAAATAAATAAAATAAATATTGACAATTAGGATTTTAAATAATAATACGAATAATTATCATTATTGTATGGTTAATCATAGTGTTTTTGTTCTAATTTGGTGTGAACATTCGTGGATGTAGGACAATAATTGAATCAGTAAGAACAAGAACAGTCCAAAAATTTAATTTTGACAAGTCATTTTCAGAAATTAATTTTGAAGTTCAAAATACATTTTTATTTATTTATTTTGTGAGAACATATAAATCATTTAACAGAATATGAATATTATAGTCCATGGCATTAATATCATCAGGCAATGGCGGCTCTGGTTTATTCATGTCTCTAGCAATATTATGTATACATACTATAGTACAACTGCAGCTGGAATAATGGACAAAACTGTATCTAGTTTTAATATTATTAAGATATCTTAAGCCATATGTTAACACTGGAAACCTTCTTTTCTAAATTTCAGATACTCTTTCTATTATATTTCTGGTTCTTGGTAGTGACTCATTATAGAGTTGCTGACCTCTATACCTATAACTATAGTTATTGGATTTGCTAAAGATGTCAATAAATAAAATCTTTGAAAAAAAAAGATCTTGAATACCGATGACTAGTACTTTTGAGGTTATAAATCGTTAATGGTGGATTAAAGTAATTTAAACCACCGAAATTGGGGGTTTATTTTAACAGTAGTTTAGAGGTATTTAAACAAGGATTAATTTACGGTGCAAGCCAGTTATGAAAAATAAACCTGGGTTAAAAATAAAACCACTGTTAAACTTACGATGCAAGTGGCCACAAAACACAAATAAAAAAAATTATATATAGGTACTATGCTCCACACCTCAAAGTCCCACCACGTGACCACGTACGGAACGCAGTCTTTTGAAAATTTGGCATTTAAGGCTTTTCAGGTTATTTATCTGTGAAAGTATAGTCAATGAAAGAAATAACATTTATAGTGTTACCGCTTATGTTTAAGCGTTAAAAGTTAATAAAACTTTATAGTATCACAATAACAATGGTTGGTTTAAGAATTTAGGAATATAAATACTGCATTTAATGAAATTCCAAAGTGTAAGGTGCAATATAAGTGATATTTTTGTGCATTGGGTCTACATTTCTCCATAAAAAAGTTTTAACTAAACAGCATTTATTAAAAAAAATTTACTTCTCTATTATGAAATAAGAATATCTGTATCAAAGGTAGGTTAATGTATTAGAACAAAAAATATCATCTAATTTTGTATTTTAAGGTTAGAAAAATTTATTTTGACCAAAATAAATAAGTGGATCATTTGGAAGAGTGTGCTAATATGGTCATAAATAAATATAGGTATACTAAATAATTGTTGAATAAGGTTCAAATTAAATTGAAGCTTTTATACTTCTAACGACAAAACTTGTGCATACCTCTCGGCATTCCTACTTTAAGTTAGATTATAAGAAAACAAACAATTTTTAGAGAAACTTGCAATGTGAAAATATTTAATCCTGCCATGATATGTGATTTATTAAAAATTTTAAAGTTATAATGATTTTTCGATGTAGATCAAGTTCAGTCGAAGCTTTTTAACTATTTGTATTGACAAAACTTTAAGCTGGATAAGAAAAACTACTAAATTTTTAAATACCATATTATACAGTCTTTTAAGTAATCCAAATTACTTATTTATTTTGGTCAAAATAAATTTTTCTAACCTTAAAATTACAAAATTAGATGATATTTTTTTATAATATATTAACCTACCTTTAAAACAGATATTCTTATTCCATAATAGAGAAGCTAGATTTTTTTTAATAAATGCTGTTTAGTTAAAATTATTTTATGGAGAAAACCAGATATTTGGACCAAATGCACAAAAATATTACTTATTTGGCACCATACACTTTAGAATTTCATTAAATGCAGTATTTATATTATTAAATTCTTAAACCTTCCATTGTTATTGTAATGTTATAACGATTCATACATTTTTAACGCCTAAACATAATATTATTTCTTTCGTTGACTATACTTTGACAGATACATAACCTGAAAAGCCTTAAATGCCAAATTTTCAAAAGACTGCGTTCCGTACGTGGTCACGTGGTGGGACTTTGAGGTGTGGAGCATAGTACATAAGCGCCTCACTGACCAGAATTAAAGTAAAAACTGCATAGTGTCCCCCACCTGACCGGGTAGTTCAACCCAATTAAAAAGCATGTTTGATAAAATTGATAAATTTTTTTTGGCCACAATAATGGTTTTAAAAAGGAAAACTTCGAACAAAAAATATCATCTGTTTAGCAACAATAAAAATAGAAATATCGTTTACCTTGTGTTGCTTAAGTTCCCCTCGTCGGAAGACTCAGAGTCCGACAAATCGAATCCTCTGTCCTCTTCTTGTGGGGACGTGTCGGCCGACGAGCCGCTTTGATGGGCGTCTGTAAAAAACCGACAAGATTTAGTGTTATTGCGTCCAAAATGGACCTGCCAAATTCCCCGTATTAACCTTTCGTTTCGCACGGATCTATTTAATACGCTTTTCGTGGCCTATTTATACGATTCGTCGTTACCCGGATCGGATAATTACGGACATTTTTAACGGATAAATGAGGATTTTTTGTTCGTAATTAGAACCAACCTCGTCAAAGTTGGAATTTTTGAATTAACAAATAATTGATGAGAATTACCAATGGATTAAAGAAACATTGAGATAATTTTATTTATAACACTATGATAGTTCGAATTACTAACATTGAGTACGCCCACCTATATTACCTAATTTTGGGCTGCTAATTTCAAAAATGCCACTCGTTTTGCTCCAGGACGTCTAGGATTCGAAATAATTGCATAATAAAATGCTCTGTCCACACTGTTTAAAATTTCTGTGGTGTAAAAAGTAATCTTAAAACGGTGTCAAAATCCAACACCCAGTGGTGTTAATATAACACCATGAATTATGGTTGAAAATGTGTACCGATCGCGGCAAAGGCGGTGTGGATCACGTGATGTTCTTAAATCTCGCCTCTGTTGACTTACATGAAGAATATATAAACTCAGGTGATCCTTTGCTCTGGTGTGACACTACAAGTTGTTCGATACTAAAGAGACCTTAAATAGGTGGAAACAGCTGTCAATACTTGAAGTATTTTAAGTTAGTGGAACGCACTAAAAACATTATCTCTAGCGAGTTGAAGGTTCCATTTTCTGGAATATTACCACTGGTAATATACTAGTAATGCGTCAAGGAATTCCTTCCTGTTTCTTTTTTTTTTCCTTTTTTCTGTGTAGTATGATTTAATTTAACCACAAACACATAATATTTAACACTGAAAAGGAGTTCAATGTACACCAGGTAAAATTTATTTTAATACTGTGTGAAAGTTAAATTAACACCATTTTAGTATTTGAATTAACCGGGCCAACGGACCACATTTAACACCATTTTGGTTTGTATCGATATATACCATGTATGGTGTTAATTTGGTGTTAAAATGGTCATGAAATTTTGAACAGTGCAATTATCTCAAAATGTAAGTTTTTCGTTATTAAATATTTTGCCTTAAATCTATTTTGGATGTTTCGTATATTTTTGACGTTTTTTGTCAAAAATATACAGGGTCTCCATACAAAGTCATCGGTAGATAAATGTCAAATAGAAATTTTGTTTGTTCCATTGTAGCAGTACAATAGGGGTCATTCTCACTAAAACGTTCAATTTACTGTCCCTTATTAATAATTTACATACTTACGGCAAAATATATATTTTTAAGATTAAAGAATATTACCCTTAACGCTAGTCCATATGCATTTTGACAAATATTATTAAAATCTTATAAAAATTTTAGTTAACAGTACGTGAGATCTCACGTTTGTTAGTTGTCCCCCGCCAGAGTCACTATATTTCAATTTCAATTTTCTTATTTATAAAATTAAAGTTTTAACCGCAAAAATAATAAACAGCACGAAAATACCACAAGTTTTTTCATCTTGTTAAAAAATATTAGTAAATGTTTTTTATATCCCCACAGATAATTGTTTTATAAGTGTCCCTGGATGACTTTCTCACCTCCGTTAATATAGACATAAATTGTAATAAAATATCCTAGATGGCTCTTACGTTGCCAGGTATTTGTTAGCCTAAAAATAGTTATTTTTAGTTTGATTCTTGGTGCGTGACATATTATTTTTAAGTTTTTTGGAACATTTTCGAGAATATCAGGTATTAAGTGTTCTAACGTGGAGCATAATTCTTACTGCTGTTAGTGATTATCAAAAGGTAAGCAATTAGATATTAATAAATATAATTACATATTTAAATAATATGAATAGGCAAGAGTTTATATTGTCTGGGACCGGGGTCTTTATAACCAGTAGACAGGTCAATAGGGGGAAATTTGAATAAAAACCTCACACCCGTTAATCTCACTGCTGTTAAAAGTGAGGTTTTATAGTACCTATTCTGGTATATTTGTATAATGAGGAGTTCGTTAACGTTTTCTGTTAAATTAATCAGTTCCTAACACCTGAAAAATAATCAGCAGTCAACAAAGTCCTGATGAGGTCTTCATTATTGAAATGTATAAGTACTCTGACGGTTTACCTATATCTTCATTAGAGTGTCTCAAAAAAACCGAATTTTTTTTCCAAAGAACATTGAAAATTCGTCAGAGTATCTCTAGAAAATGACCCTGTGAAAGTAAGAGCTCTTAATATTAATATTTAGAGGTGGCGTTTTGTAATTTTCTATTTCCCATTTAAATAACATGGGAAATTTTTATTTTCAAATTTGGAATTTTGTAACGTGATAACGAGCTACTTTATAAGTATGACGAAATTACTCGTTATAGGAAATTTCATGCTCTACAAAAAAGGTCTGATTGACTTTTTGCGTAAGTCAAGCCGTTTCAAAGATATCGAGCCTCAAACTTCAGAATGTTTAAAATTATGCTTTTTTTTTCTTAAATACAAAAAAATCAATTTGTATGTATTGAAGACCCAAAATTATTAACTTGAGAATAAATATATGCATATATTTGATGGAATCCAGATCTAAAATTCTTAATAATTTGATAAATGATAATTTTTATTGATTTTTAGCAAAAAATATTCACTTACCTAAAAAAATTTGGTAGAAGTTTACTATAAATTTATTTACATTATGTATTAATAATATTATATTATACAGTCATGTTAATAGTCCATTTCACTTTATATCAACTTTCTTCTGTTATCTCCTGATTTAAGCAAATAAGTAATTCAAATTTCGTTAAGGTTGTTCATACAATTATTTTTTGCGCCATCTACCTGTAAAAAAGCATAATTTTAAAAATTCTGAAGTTTGAGGCTCGATATCTTTGAAACGGCTTGACTTACGCAAAAAGTCAATCAAACCTTTTTTGTAGAGCATTAAATTTCCTATAAGGAGTAATTTCGTCATACTTATAAAGTAGCTCGTTATCACGTTACAAAATTCCAAATTTGAAAATAAAAATTTCCCATGTTATTTAAATGGGAAATAGAAAATTACAAAACGCCACCTCTAAATATTAATATTAAGAGCTCTTACTTTCACAGGGTCATTTTCTAGAGATACTCTGACGAATTTTCAATGTTCTTTGGAAAAAAAATAGTCGGTTTTTTTGAGACACTCTAATCTTCATGGGTTAGCAATCAGTGACAATCAGTGACAAAACCGATCGATGATTTTGTGGTAGTTAAACTGTGCAGTAAAATAGTATATTAAAGAACTAATTTTCTTAATTCACTCCTCCGTTAATATCAAATTTAAGTTTTTACAAATGTTTTCTTAGATTTTTTTTCAAGCTTAGAGTATTCGGGTAACTGATAAATATACATATGCAATAATATACATATCTAATTATTTAGGTAAAATTTTTTTTCAAAATTAATACCGGGAAGTTCATGATAATGACCCATAGTAGTATTTTATAAGGGATATTAAAAAAGTGCTTTATTAAATTTTAATAAAGCACTTTTCTGCATAGAAGTGCTTTATTAAATACCAAAACTAAAATTATAATGTTTTTTTTGGTTAAAACTTTTTACCAAAAAAACATTATAATTTTAGTTTTACTAAAAAGTATAATTTTTGAAATTTTTATGTCGTTTTTTTAATTACTAATTAAATTGAAAAGGCAAAAAAGTAAATGAGTTTCTGTATAAGCATTACTCTTCGACTATTATTTGATATGTTTTTATTCACAGCATGCCTAAAGTACCCAAAAATTTAATCTCAAATTTATTAAGTCGTATCAAAATTTAATATCGAATTGAAGTATAAAGGCGCCTTTATCTAGTTTATCATTCAAGCACATTAAAGTGTATCTATTAAATTTTGACATTTAAAATTTAAATTGTATTTGTACTTGAAAGTGATTTTAAGAACCAAAAATGAAAAAAGAGCAGGAAATGGAAGTGGCAGAGAAAGAGAAAGGAGACGAACCTTAATGTCGTTGTAAATTTGTTTTGTTTTTGTTGCGGTACCTTTACGCCCAAGAAAAACCAACGCAATATTTCATTACAAAATTTTATGAGATATACCTACTACCTACTTTAATTTGGCAGAAATATTAAATGGACCTGATATACGACGCGACGTTTATTGAAAACTGTCATTGAAAATGTTCTTGGTTCATATCGGGCCTAAAATTGGCGACAATTCATTGAAAAAAATGCTCTCCGTTTTGTAAAGAATTAGCGTTAATATGTAATTTAAAATACATTTTCTTTTTTTTTCACCCTGATAAATTTGCAGAACTGATGAACATGGAGAACGATTTCACCAAGTAACTGCAAATCTAGAGCATTGGTAGATATCTATGGGTATGGCGGAAAGAAGTTGGATTCATTGCTAGGAGACATTTGCTGGAATTTGCAGCAAAATATGTACGACGATGATGAGGATTACGCACAATAATACTATAATCCAATTTGATATTTGATACGATTTAATAAATTTAAGGTAGAAAAAAGCAAAATTATGCAATGCATTAAATTTTGAGGGCTTAGTTTGGATAAAAAAAATACTAAAACTTGTTTACTTTGTTGCCCTTTCAATTTAATAATTAAAGCCCAAAATTAGTTAAACTAAGCTGGAGTACTTAATGTTAGGGAAAAAAGTTTCTAAAACTATCATAGTGTTATTAACAATCATTTGGTTAGATTTTGCATTGACAAATGGAGACTTTTTAAATTTAACTTAAATATTTTATACCTTCAAAATCAAGAAGACTATCATCTGGCGATGACTCCGTGTACATCGAGTTTGAAGTGGTGCGGTGCAGCGCGTTCGAGTTGTTGGTAGCAGCCAGCTTGCCGCTGTTGAAGTTTAACAGTTGATTGCGGTTGTTCGTATTGTTGATCAGCTGACGCTTCTGCAGTTCCGTTGCAGGATTGCACCATTGCACCCGATCTACGTTCGTCACGTTGTTCAGTGTGTTTAGGTCTTCTGTAACACAATACATATCTTTGTTATTAACTATAAATTGTACCTTTTTTCTTAAATACACACTGTTTTTAATGTTTACGATAAATAGCCACCTTGATTGTAAATAAAGTTAATATCGTTTTTTAAAATATGTTTCTGACCACAATAAACTAATTCTAATACGAACCAAAAAGTTCGTTCTTTTTCAAAACTACATAAGTTTTTTGTTTCTTGAACGATTTTATTTTGGTCTGGGATGTCTGCTAGCCTCATCCTCTGGCAATTCATGCTATAGATATGAAGCTCACGGTAATAATGAAGTATTATGTCTTACCTTGAAACGCTTTACATTTTTTTGTATGCAATACACTCAGTCTTTTTAGGAACAAGATGGTGAAAGAATGTTCCTTAAATAATTCTGAACAAGCGACAAGCAACAAACTTCCATTATTTTCAGAGGGCCTAAGCAAAGACCACTTTTTCAAAATACGATTTTGGTGAAAATTTGAGAAAACTAAACCTAAACCGATATTTACGTTCGTGACATGTTTTCTTCATAATTTTGACCTCCTGATTGTGATTCAGTTGTCAAATTTAAGTTTCAGATAAAACCAAAATCACCAAGAATCAAGATTTGAAAACAATTCCCGGCTGTTAAATGTCTCAATAAAATACGATTGCTGGTTTATACTATTTTTTTACTGTTTTGCATCTTTAGTAAGTTCTTATCATATCGCTGAATGATCAAATCGAGGATCAAATAAAAATTTGTTCTTGAAAAACATTTAACATTTTTTTCAGTTTGCTTGTGTTTTTCAAAATTTCGAAGTTTTTTTGCATAAGTTATACCTACCTACCTACCTACATAGCCCTATCTTACCCAGGTTACTTCCATTCTTCCTTAAAATAATTAAAATACCAATGCCAGACTTTGCTGCAGCTACGGGAATTAACATCTCAAAATCAACGGTTCGCAGAAGATTGCACGAAACGGGAGGTAAGGGTGGCGTTTGGAGGTGGAGGGGTGACTGTTTGGGGTGGAATGGCGATTAATGGAAATAGTGAATGCTGAGAGATATAGAGATTTGGTTGTTGGTGATATCGTGGTCCCTTATGCTCAAAATGTTGCCAATAGTTGGTGTTGGTGGACGACAATGCCCGTCCGTACCGCGCCAATATCTTAAATGAGTATTTAAGGGACCACATATTGAGAGAATGAATTGGCCACCTTTGTCTCCGGATATGAATCCTATTAAGCATGTGTGGAGCAGGATGAAACTGAAGATGAAAGAGAGGGAAGGACGTATGAAAAATTTGGATGAATTGGTAAATGCCATTCAGGAAGAATGGGATACCCCAGGAATTTATAAGGAACTTGGCCGAGGCCCAGGAGGGTTAACGAATTATTACGGGTTAGGGGAGGGCGAACGAAATATTTAAAGTTATTATTGTTATTGTTTGTTACATTTTTCTGTTGAATGTTGTAGTTTTGATTATGTTTATATCTTTATATTTTTAATTAACTTTATTACCAATTAGGTAGGTGCTTATGTGTGATAAGTTATCACTAGTGCGCAATGTTATTGTAAGTTATGTAACAATATCCTAACCACTCAAACAAATTGCAGTAATTTCGCCCAAAAAATGAATCCCCAAATGGCATTTTAATCATAAATATGCAAGAAACACACCAGCAATCGGATTTTATTAAGATATTTAACAACCGGAAATTGTTTTCGAATTTTGATTCTTGGTGATTTTGGTTTCATCTGAATCACAATCAGGAGGCCAAAATTATAAAGAAAACATTTTTAAAAAGTGGTCTTTGCTTAGGCCCCTCTGAAAATAATGGAAGTTTGTTGCTTGTCGCTTCTTCAGAATTATTCAAGGAACAATCTTTCACCATTTTATCTTATTGTTCTTAAAAAGACCGAGTGTATTGCCTACCAAAAACCCTTAAATGTACTCTTTTGAAAAAAAATCATATTTTCCTTGCTAAGATTCCAATTCGAAAAATTTGAAAAACGGTACAAAGTAAGACATAATACTTCATTATTTTAAAGTAAAAACGAGAAAAAAATTATTTTGTTATAAACGGGGCTTGGATGAAGTTATTGAAAATTTTTACCGTTTTACATATCACCCTGTAGGAAATTTACTTGAAGAACCGTGAGCTTCATATCTATAGCATGAATTGCCAGAGGATGGGGCTATTAGACATTACAGACCAAAATAAAATCGTTTAAAAAAACAAAAAGGTTATGTCGTTTTGAAAAAGGATGAACTTTTTAGTCGCGACACATTGAGTGGTGACCAGTTTATTTAATAACTATAATTATGATTCTAACGATTTATGTAAGCAAGCAGCAATGCTTCGTACACAAGGTCGTAGTTTTTGCTATTTTTTCAGGCCATTAGCTTGTATTCTTTTTGATACATGTTGTTAGATTTTTGGGGATTTTTGATTGATTATAATTAACTGTCCAGTATACGTATACGTTTATATAGTTAAGAATATATTCCAAATACTACAGAAAAAGTACATTTGTGGTAATATTTAAAAATACAAGTGGCTAAAATAACCCCTAAAGTTTGTTCCCTAATTTTGGTCCCCTAGGTCACGTCTCCTGGGTCACAGCTTTTATAAATGACCTTTTGAATTGGGCGCACATTTTTTGGTGCTGCCCACTTGCAGCAATGGATTTTAGTGGAAACTATCTTGAAGCCACATCACGTTTTTATGTATTTTTTATATCAGGGTGGTAGAACTGTGCAGTTGGACTTTTGTGAGATTGAAAAGGATATGCCATAGTTATTGGAAATATATACATATTTTTAAAAATACAGTTATATGCTAATTATTAACTTTTAATAATAAAATTTGTTACACTGGTACACTGTATAGAAGCCAAGAGATACAACTGTCATTTGAATAGTAAAAGCTACATTTTACTTGGCAGTCAGTGGATATATCTTAATTTGAAGCTTGTGAAATTTATACAAAGTCATAAATCAAGAAGCAATTTTGACTCCAAGAGGGTTTAACTTTAAATATTATTATCGCAAAACTAAACAAAATATACTTTTACCCCTTGCCTTATATCACAAAGGAATTTTTTAAAATGTGAGCGATTGTCCATTAATTTATCTACAATATTCTTTAATATTCGTATAAATCCGAAAACAAATTTGTGTGGATCTTTTATTTTGCCTGTGAGTGTATAAAAAAATGTGTTTTTATTATCTTATATTTAGTTTTAATAAAAATTATATAACATACCTGTATTAATAGTATAATTGGTGGTAGTAACATCGTTGCTCGTCAAGTTGCTGGTGTTGTTGCTATAATTTGTATTGATGATGTTGCTATTTTGCAATGTGTTTATCCTTTTCGGTGAATTAAGGATATCGTTGTTAACATTATTGTGAACGGACAGCGGTCCGTCCGCCGATTTCAAGCGCATTTCCTTGACCTGTAACAACAAAAGCAACATTTAGAACAATAAAAATTTTCAGATTAAAAAGTTTGGACAGGTTACGGTCTCCAACACGTATGCCATGTGCTAACGATCCCACATTAAAATCTCAAAAAGCCCCTAAATACACTTTAACCGGCATAAACAACTTCTTCGCGGTAGGTTGAGTGGGATTTATGTTTCAAACTATTCTCCCTTAAAGTTACAATGGAAATCCTACTTCGACTAAATTACCCGAATTCATAACTTTAGACTGACCCTTTTAACATGCACATGTGCAGATACATTAAGAGATGGAGGTGTTGGCCTATTTATCGTTCTTAATCATATTTTTTTAAATGGCAACATTGCGTACTAATAAATTTGTTGATTTATTCTTAATCATTGTGACAACAAACAACAATATTAAACTTAAATTTTACTTAAAGTTTATTCATTTTACGTCAGACTTGACAGAGGAGAGATATTGGATAAAGTTCGTCTCGAGTAGCCAGACGAGAGACTTAAATTATCCAAGTGAATTATGCGCATAATCTCGAGTGTACGAGGTGTGTTCAGAAAACAACGGGAATTGTTAAATTTCGCGGGTTTGGAGGGTCAGGTTGTCATAAAATTTTCTTTATTATGTTGTTATACATGCCCCCGAAGTATGATAAAAACTTTAGCTGTTTTCATTGTTTACTTTGTCTGTGGCAGCCGCTAAGGTTGGACGTGTTTTATGATCTCGGCGATTTTTCGTTCGTTGAAAGAAATGTATCAAAGAATTTGTATCCAATTTTGCTTAAAAAATGAAATAAATTCTGTGAAATGTTAACAAAGGCCTATAGTAAGTCTGCTATAAGTAAAACAAGAGTTTACAAGTGGTATAAGAGTTTCCAAGATGGCCGTGAAGACGTTGAAGATGACGAACGCCCCGAACGCACAAGCACATTAACAACCGATAAAAACATGGAAAAAGTGGAAGAAATGGTTATAAACCATCAGAGAAGTCGCTGATAATGTTGGTATATCGATTGGCTCATCCCATGAAATTTTTTCAAATGTTTTGGGTATGAAACGCGTGGCAGCAAAATTTGTTCCAAAATTGTTAAATTTTGAACAAAATTTTTGGCCAAAAACAATACTGTATTGATGCCCCAGCCTCCATATTCGCCAGACATGCCCCTGTCTGAAAGAACTAAAGGCTATCCCAAAGTTTTAGAAGTGTCTCGAGTATTGGAAGGAGAGCTGGCAAATGTAAATGTAGACGAATAAATAAATATTTGTTTCAAAAAACGAAAATTCCCGATATTTTCTGAACACACCTCGTATACACTCTAAAAATGAAATAGTCAAAATTCTACTATTTGAATTAGTACCAGCATTTTTTACTAATAAAATAGTCGTTTTAACTTTTAAATAGTTATTTTTTACTACGTAAATAGTTAATGTTTCACTAATTTAAGATTAGTCACCATCTTTTTGGACCATTTCTGAGAGTAAAAAGTAACTAATTTCTTTAATCGTTTGCGGCCAAAAACAAAGTATTATTTGAATTAAATGCATATACCTAAGCTCCATGGTTAAATGACCCATAATAACAAAAAAGATGCAAAAAGTTTAGCTCAAAACAGCAACATAAATAATATATTCAGCTTTAAAATATTATGAACAATATTTATTGACAAAAAAAATTGATTTTTATAAGAGCGGCTGGTAGCCGAATGGGTTATGACAACAGCTTGACAAGTGACAGACCTGAGTTCAATCCCCGGCTGGGTCAAAACTTTTTTAAATTTAAATCTACTAATTTGACTATTTCATTCAGTAGAATTTGAATAATTATTAGTGACTGCTTTTTCGCTATGACAATTAGTCAAATATGACTTATAATTAGTTATTTTTGACTAATTCATTTTAAGAGAGTATTACTATACTTATTGGAGTAGATAGATAATTAAATGATTTTCAAAAATAAATATATGAAATCTGACATTTGTCAAATGGTTGACCTTATTTTGTACCAATTTTAAATGTTAAATCACAGTGAACATTGAAATCGCCCAATCACTCATGCCTAACAAATCCAAATTATGCAATAGGAGTAGATAAAACAATAGATTACATTCATAAAGAAAAATTGGACAAATATTAACATTAAATTTTCACAAACACAGTCTAAATGACTAGCATTTTTCAAACACTGTCAATTGTCTATACAGTTTTTAGGTGCGATTTTAACAGATAACAACACTGTTAAAAATGTTTGTAAAATTACTACATTTTTACTAAGCAGTTGCATAGTAAAATTACAAAATGTTGTATTGTATTGCAATTTTAATACGCATTTGTTGTAATATTACATTTTGTTATAGCCAAAGTACTAAACAGGTTCCAATTTTACAAGGTTTTTGTTTTTGTCAGATACTTAGTAATTTAACAATTCTGTATTGTAGAATTGAACTTGAAATTTTGTAAAAATTTTATACATATTAGGAATTTAATTTTAATAAGATAATCAATAAAATTACTAACCAAAATTTGCTATTTTAATTACAATAAGTGTTTGGAAATATACAAATCATTATTTATTTTATTTAACTTCTGTTTGCATTTTTACTACATATCATTTTAATCATGGACACTGTTAAATTTTTTTTTTAATTACAATTGTTTTGCAAAACAAAGGATAAGTAAAATTACAAATCAGTGTATACTAATACAAAATTATAATACAATTTGAGTAATCTTTCAAGACATGTTGGGAAATCTACTAGGATAAGTTGTAATTTTACAATCTATATGTATAAATCCTACACGCATTGTAATTTTACCAAACAGTTTGACAGTTTCTAATAAAAAGCATCTCTGATTTACAAACGTTGTACCGATTGCGGCAATCACGTGATGTTCTTACATCTCGCCTCGGTTGACTTAGGTGGACAGTATATAAGCTCAAGGGTCTTTCGTTTTAGGTGTGTTCCAATACACCAAATTGCCCGACCCAAAATAGGTCTATCTATCTAGCTGTCTGTCGGTATTTGAAGTTGGTGGAACGGACTTAAAACAAAAACTGTGAAGAGGTGAAGGTTCAATTTTTTTAAATCTTTACAGTAATGGGTCCAGAAAGTTTCTTGAAGAAACTAAGAAAATTGCAGGTTTTTTTTTCGTAGTATAATTACAGTACCATCATTCGTAAATTACTAAATATTTTTAGTGTAATTTGTTGTACAAAATAACAATATTTGTATTGTAATATTGCGAAACAAATTTTCTTCAGTTCAGTAAAATTGTAAAATATATTTTGTAATTTTCTTAAACTGAGTTAAAATGAATTGTTAAGTATTATTGTGTAATTTATTGTGTAAATATTACAATACATCATTTTAAAATAACTAAACATATTTAGTAGTTTTTTTTAGCAAAATTACTGAAAAAATTTTTAATAAATGCTTAGTGAATTTTAGGCTTTCAGCGTTTTTCTATATTTTTTGAAAAAAATTAAATTTTTGAATTAAGTTTTTTCCGAGATACATTTATTTTTTTAAATGCATGGTCTACTAAGTAATTTAAAACCATCTTTATATTAAAATGCTTCAAACAAAAAATATTTGTGGCGCCTACTAGCACTTGATTTTATATTTATTTAAAAGACAGCTATTAAAAACACTTAACACAGAGTGTGAGAATGCGTGACATTTTTTAAAACCTTAGTATTGTTTATACACACATCAAAAATATACAGCGCTTTCTTTATTGGCGTAGGGACAGAACAATAATTATAAAAACTTACCATTATTTGTTCCAGCCATAACGTATGACAGTATTGAATACAATGATGGTCAAAAATTAAAAATAAATTAGGAATTAACATTACAATTGTAAGAGAAGCAAAACCTTCACGCGCAATTTACCAACACAAAGCAAGTAATTATAATTCTTAAACTTTGACCGGTTACCTGATAAAAATTCAACAGATTTGAAGGTGATATAACAATTTTTGATTTGCTACAGATATTAAACAATTCAAAATTCACTAAATTTTGTCGAAATACAACACTTGCTTATTTTGAATTTAATTGTTTTTGGACAAGAATATGGATTATTTAAAAAAAAATTATCTGGGCCCGTATTTAAAGATATTAATTAATTGTAAATAATAGTTATTTATATTATTATATTATTATATTATTTAAGTTTAAAAGAAAATAAAATTTTTCCTCAACAACACAGTTTGGTTTGGAGCGTGGCTTAGTGCCAAAGTTACATGGGTACAGGCGAATGGTAAGTGGGCGTTTGCCAGTTAATTAGTTTTAATTGCAACGATAAGGATTATCGCTAGATTTGCATACATGTATATCGAATAACAGATTATAACGACCGAACGATATTGAAAATATTTTAATGCTGCCTTTAAACTATATAAAATAGAAACGTTCTGCTATATTTTTTGGTCTTTCCTTTTTATTTTAAAATTCCCTGTATGATTATCAAATTGTTAATAATGGAAAAATAATATTTTAAAACTGTCATATTTTTGTGTTTCTAAAGTAACAAATGTAACAAAAACTATTTTGTTGGAATCGGTTTTGTAAAAAAATATAAAATTTTTTGTAAATGTGTTGGATGCCTCACAAAATCATATATTAAATTAAAAGACATTCTATGGAGACTCTCGAAATGGAGATACTACCTTAATCAAAAACTTCCTAGGCTGTAAAAATAATTTAGACCAATTCGTCTTATTTATTGTTTGACAACAAAATTAAGACTTTAAGATAAAATGTTGTATGCCATGTGACTGAGAATTGTGTTTTTTTACTTCGTTCAAACTTTGATCTCAACATAAAAAGATCACCATATTATAACACTATGATAGTTCTAGCATTCGAAATAATTGCGTAATAAAATGCTCTGTCCAATTATCTCAAAATGTAAGTTTGTTGATAATATTTTGATTATTTATTAAATTATTCTGCCTTAAATATATTTTGGATGTTCAGTATATTTTTAACGTT